GCACACAGTTAGGGAATGCCTTTAATGTCAATTCCGGTGTTCCTTTAAGGAGGACTAAGTAAACATTAGTAAGTAAATATTTTAGGATTAACAATAGTATTTACAGGACCTAAACAAGCATGAAGTAAATTACAAAAAAGATATGAGGAGGCTCAGATAATCACCAAGGAGGTGGGAGATGAGACTCAAAGGTGGGAGGGACACAGGGGCAACAGCAGCCAGGAACAGGCAACCCGCCACAGGAGCCAGGAGGACAGCCCCATCGCCCTCACTTCTGGGAAGCAGGCAGCGCACCACCTCGATGACCAGCGTTCGCCTTACCCTTGCTTCTTTGCATCCCTGACTCCAGATTCAAAATGGGCGGCTGGTGTGGTGGTAAATGAAGATTTACTATGCAGAACCCAATGTCACCTTCACCTATCATTATAAGACAACTAGAGGCCCGATGGGGGGCGGGAGGGGAGATGGTCCCTCAGCCGGGCCTGTGCTCTTTCACAGTCCGGGAGCCCTGGGGAGATGTCCAACTGCCTCGGAGGAGTCTGCTGTGCTCCCCAGCCTTCAGTCTGGCTTGCGCCTGAGCAGCGCTCCCCCATGGGAGCTCACTGACCATGAGGGGGCAGCTTCTGCATTGAGTGTCTGCTCCCTGATGGTCAGTGGGCATCATAGCAACGGTCATTCCATGGTTCGGTCGATTTGCATATTACTCTTTTATTATATAGGATGAAGATTATCATTTCAACACAAAGGTTATTTATAAGATCTTTTGACACAATCCTAACACATAATGTGGTGTGACAAAGCCACAACAATCAAGGAAGCTTGTGAAGTATTTAATTGTCTTAGGATGAATAGGACAAGTCAATCAGTCAACAGGCAGTGCCCTTTTTATATAAAACAGGATGTGATTATATATAAAATGAAAAGAATGCTATCATATTGACAAATAAAAACATTTTAGCATGCAGGTCGTTAGCTGGAAGAGTATTAACTTCTCTATCTATATTTTGATTTCTTTCCCAGAAAAAAATACAATAGCCCGGCTGGCGTGGCTTGGTGGTTGGGTGTCGACCTATGAACCAAGAGGTCATGGTTCGATTCCCAGTCAAGGCACATGCCTGGGTTGTGGGCTCGATCCCCAGTGGGGGGTGTGCTGGAGGCAGCCAATCAATGATTCTCTCTCATCATTGATGTTTCTATCTCTCTCTCCCTCTCCCTTCTTCTCTGAAATCAATAAAAATATATTTTTTAAAAAATAAACAAATAAATGAAACAAAACCATTTTTGAAGTATAATTCTCTTGCTTAAACAAATATTGAGACTCTTATATCAACATGAATGGATTAACTAACTAATTGTGGAGATCCCAAAAGCTAAAAAGTGGAGGTTCTAATGAAGTTTCAGCTATGCTTAATGCAAATACACTTTCAAGGCAGGCCTTGTGAATCATGTGAGAGACATTCTTTCACTCACCTTAAAGAGAATAGAAAGGCACATCAAGGCTAGTGATGCACACAGTGGGTATTCTGTAATCATCTGTTGACTTTATACTTAAATTTAGCCCATAGAGGTAAATATATGTAATTAATAAACCTCCTGAGAAAATTTTAGGCAAGAAAAAACAATTCCTTCTTAAAAGGTAGCTGATACAAACAGCTACAGAAATGAATATTACCCACATATTAAAAACTTAATTCACCAAAACAAATTTACTCTCTCAGACATACGTCCATTTTCTGTGCAAGAAAATGAGGTTCTCACTCAATATCTTATCATTATGAATTGTTTGAGAAACAAGAGGTTTGCATTACCCATTTTAAACAAATGTTCAAATTAACAAGTTTTCCATAACTATATGGCAAACTGTTCTATTATCCAAAGAGATACAACAAAATGGATCATTAAGAAAATATCTGCAGATTACATAGTTCTATAAATTGCTCCTCAGAACCTATTTCTAGTTTTAATTCAATCTTCTAATTTTATTAATATATATTTGCTATCTTAAAAATGCTGACTCACACATAAAAATCTTCCAATAACATCGTCATCAAGTTAGCAAAGAGGGAAAATGCTTGGGGAGGAGATTAAACCTAATGTGGCTGGTATAAATCCCATCTTTGTCAATTATTAGTTGTAGAGACTTCCCAAGTTTTTAACATCCTACTTAAATGGCAAGATTTGGCAACTGATTGAATATGACCAACAGGAGAGGCATTAGAGACGACCTGGAGGTACCTCGGCTGGGTAAGTGGAGGGACATAAGAGGAAGAGAAGTTTAGAGCAACCTAGAGATGACCATTCCATTTAGGGCAGGACAGATGGAGAGACAGAGACACCCATAAGTGGGTGGACAACAGACTACCAGGAATGTGGGTCCAGACACAAAGAAAGATTTGTATAGCATCCTCCCAGAGATTACTGGAAATCATAGGTATGCCTAATATCAGCATCAATTTTCAAAATATTTTATAAAATGTCACTTTATTTCAAAACATATCCAAATATGACATAGAAAAGTAAGCATGCATACACATTTCAATCATTTACAAACTTTTTGAATTAAAATATGAACTCTTCTAACATATGATCAATAAGATACTAATTATCATGTCTCTAATTTTTCTGACATCTGTAAACCCCTGAAATTATATGCTGCTGATGATGATAGTAATAAAATCTTACAGAGCACTTATTGCATATTAGGCATATTATCCTTCCATGTAATTTTTTCCCCATTAAAATGTCATAATTATAAAGTGGAGGTCTCATTTTCAGGACAATCAGAAAGATATATGTGCGATCCAGTTTTAACTTTCACCTCAAATCTATTGGCTAAAACTCTCACTGTGCTCTTGGTTCTTATCAGTCTTGTAGGGACAAACATGTAAGCACGGTGGAGTTTTGCCAGAGTCTCCTGATTTCGCTTTCTCCAGGCAATCTCAGTGACATGTATAGTTCCTTTTATACTTACTATCACCTCGGTTCACCCAGGTAGACTTGGTACCATCTCCTCTTCTATAAATTTACCCTCTGAGCAAAACTGTCTATTCACAACAAAACCCAGAGACCTTCCTTCTACAACTGCTCACTGAGTAAGAGGATTACTCATTCATTCACCAAATGAGGGGCCTGGATTCATTCTCTCAATTCCCATTCAGCTCTGACGGTGCCACTGGGAGGTGACACACAGCCACATCATTCCCAAACCTTTTATCCAGTTTGATTTTCTTAGAAAATATTCCTCAAAATCCAAACATGGCTTTTTCAAAAGTTGATTTTCATTTTTCTTTTCATTTTTTAAACTGGCTTCACTGTCTGTCTCTCCCGCTCCCTCGCCCTGACCCCACATGGGAAGGCCACCTGGCTGATTCCTCCAGCGCAGTTTCTGTCTTACACACACAGTGTGCAATCCCAGCCACAGAGCCATGGCTAACTAAATGCTTATCTGAATCCATGACTAGGAAGCCCATTAGGTCAGCAAGCCCCAACCCCACGGAAGTCTGACCGAGCAGTGCCCCAGCTGTGCTGGGGGAATCAGCTGCTCCCAGCATTCCCTTAAGAAGGGCCTTGGGCCTGGAATACCAGTGTGTCAGCACATATAAGGAAAAAATGGGGAACATGAAGACCAAAGGCCAACGTGAACTTTACATTTCTTCGCTCTCCTTACCCAATCCCGAAAGCACAGGAGCATAAAACAAAATGATCCTTTCAGGTGAAAAGGCTCGAACGCTAACCTTTACTGCGGCTACTGAGGAGCATTCATTCGGGTTAGGGCTCATTTTACTGAGAGGGAGAGGCGGGGGGTTCACCTTAAAAAGCAATTTTGATAGTTTTGAAAATGAAATCATTTCTTAAAATATTGCTCGTTCCCACCTAAAACCAATACCAAATAATATTAAATATAAACTATAACTAAAAAGTAAAATTAAAAACATGTATCAGTTGCTCTCAATCTCTACATTTAGCATCTGCATATTACAAATTAATTTCTCACTAGAGCATAAGTTCTAAGGAGAAAGAAGGCTCGCTTATCTTCTTTCCACAGCTGTGCCGTGGTGCCTGATGCACAGCCCACAATGACTGGCAACACAGAAAGGATCTGTGAGAAGCAGCTGAAGGAGCTTGGAAAGGGAGAGGAAAGAACACCCAGCCGAAGGACCTCGCTGCTCACTGCTAACGAGCGCAGGACACTGGGAAACTGAGATGGGAAGCCTGCTCTGCCTCACACTCTCAAAGGTGACTGCGAGGCCTGGCAAGGCCCGTCAGCAGGCGCTCGAGTCTTCACTTTTCGTGGGAAACACCTCTCCCCGGGGCCGCAGGCAGGGAATGAGCCTGCACACCCTCCAGGTCCAGGCCCGGCTGCCCGAAGCGGGAGCCAAGGGCTCCCGGCCAGCGGAGCACAAGCCCTGTGGCTGGTGGGAAAGGCGATGTGCTGGGGTGTCAAACACAAACAGCTTTTGTGAAGATAGGGACCAAGAGAGAACATAAAACAGCCCATTGATAAATTATTTTATGTCAATTACATGTTAAAATCCTACTTTGAATATATTGGTATAAACAAAATATATTGTTAAAATTAATTTCACCCATTTATTTCTAGTTTTCCTAAGGTGACTTAAAAAACGTGAAAATGTTTATGTGGTTCATACTGTATCTCTACTCCAGCTCTAATCCAGGCTGACAAAGAGATGCCACCAGAGAGAAAGTCCACTGACATAGACAGCGGGACCTGACTCCTCATTTCTTAATCTTAACTGGAGAAACTGGTTAGACTGTCTGCCCTGTACAATCTCCCTTAAAGAAACACAACAGGGCCTGGCTGGTGTGGCCAGCTGGTTGGGCATGCCCTGTGCATAGGGCTCTCTTGCCTTTGCAACTCCAAGTCCCCACTGGATCTGTCACTGAGTATAACCCACAGCACAGCGAGGTAACTGGTGGGAAACCGCAGCCTGTGCGTTCACTACTCGGGGCAACGCATTCCACCGGGAGGGTGAGCTTACTCAGTTTCTTAGCGGCCTCCAGAGCTTCCTTCGCAGTGTCCACTACAAAGAACCTCTGAACTTTCACTCCGTTGTCGGCCATCAGCTTCTTGCTCTGGTACTCCTGCAGGTTCAGCCATCGTCTGGGGGTAAAGTGGGCTGCCTAGAGAAATTGGGGGAGAGGTGAACACATAATAACAAGCAAAATGACAGTCAACTTATATGGCCAGTCCTACAGGGACCCTCAAATGGCAGCAACACAGACTATAAACAAACAAACAAAAATCTATTTAAATTCTTCATGCTTAACTGTTTTTCTAATCAAAATGTTAAAGATAACTACACACACAAATACATCAAAATTTTAAGAAACCATGGAAAGTAAGTAAGATCGATGTCCAGTAAACAGTAATGTACCAATGTCGATTTCCTGGTTTTGGTGCTGTACTAGAACTATGTAAGATGTCCATGTTAGGAGAAGCTGGGTGAAGGAAGGGTACTCGGGACGCCTGCACTATTTTTGCAGCTCCCTGTAAGTCTACAAGTATTTTAAAATGAAAAGTTATTCTTAAAATGATAAGGACTCTATTATATAGTGTATGCCTCCCCCATCCCCACCACAAATAAATGAAGTTCACAGCAATACCTGTATGGACATTGTTAATTGTTTTTTTAACACTTTCAGGTCAATAGGCCACTGACTAATCCATTTCCTTACTGAAGTTTTTAATGGAATTTGGTATAATCATTACATGTTTAATGAGATTATCTCACACACCAGAGTTCAGTAACCTCAAAGAGTCACCATTAATTAAACTAGTTCTGAAAACTGCAACTGGTGTAGGAAAGGCAACCTTACTATCGATCAATTAGTTTCTATATGTCTTGAAAGAAAATAATCAAAGGGCAGAATGACATGAACAAAGAGATTCTTCACATTTTATCCAATAAGATCAACAGCATTCCCTATCAAATCCATGAGCCCAAATTTTAAAAGAAGAGAAGCAGGAAAAAATAAGTTCACTTAATTTAAGTTCATTTCCACCCACGAGTTATAGGATGACAATGCCATTAATGCACAAAGAAATAAAAATATCCATCACACAACTGGGCCACGGGCTGGTGGTGGAAGGCCTCCTGACACACCTCCCTGTGGTTTCCTCCAGGGCCTCGGTGGGTAGCCCAGGAGTATTACAGACTGTCAAATGGGGTCCGCAGGGCGTTGCCACGTGTTACCGGGAGCTTTCAGCACCTCTAGCGTGTCCTTAACATGGTGCCTGGTTCTGGAACCTCAAAGCTACAATGCACTCATGCAGCTCGTTTGGACAAGGCCATTCCACGGAGGCTCCAGCACCTCGCAGCGAGACGGGGTTCTACCCACAGGCAGAGCGGGTGTCTTCATCTTCTTTGTATCTTAATGAAGACCGTGATGGTGCTTGGCATATGGAAGATATTAAAAAAAATGCCAGTTAGATGTCCAAATGAATAAGCCCCGCCTTTTGTCCCTTTATTCAGTTCATTTTTCATTCCCAGAAAATGACCTCTAAAAATGGGAAAGTCCTTTAGATCTGAAATGAACATAATGTAATTTAAACACACTTCTTAAAAATTCAATTTTGACATGATTAAAGCTAAAGATATCCCTCTGTTCTATCCTTATTAATATTGGAAATGGTGTTTTCAATTTTGAAGTTTGCCTACACTTCTTTAGAAATAAATCTACTGGGATAAAAATAAATTGCCAGGTAAGCAATGTTCCTTCCCATCATTTCCTGGATATTATAGAACTGTATAAGATTTTTTAATCTTCTGAACTTTAAGTCTTGATAAAACATTAAAAAATTTTAAAAATAAAATTTCAAAAATGAACATATTCATTGTATAAGAGACTTAACACATTGCGTACCGCATAGAAATCTCTAAGACATAGGCCAGGGATTGCATGTTTTTGGGCAAACTGGACGTTATTTAAATCATCATAACTACAGATCATAATGCACTTTAGGAGTTGTTTTCAATAATTATAACATTTTTATTTACAAAAACAATTAAACAATTAAACAATTAAACAATTAAAGCTCCTAGTACTTTTTTAACGTATGGTACTGCGTAAAACATTTTCCTCTATGAAGAGGGACCAAACAAAATTTACATAAGTATCTAGATTCGCTCCTTTTTCCATGGGCGGCACAAACTCTGCAGGCTCTCGTAGGAAATTTTTCCTTTCCACTCGCTGGAATACACGTAGGTTCATGGTGCTTCATATCACCTGACAACCTTTTGGGTGGATCTTTATGAGGTGCTCTCATGCACCCCCAGGGGAAGGGCTGGACAGATTTGTCTCTGGTTCCGGAGAGCCTTCATTATTGTCATCCGTTATCCAGTCTCTCACCACCGATAGCAGAAACTGTTTATACTTCATTTTTGCTTGTGGATTGAGGACGTTGTACACTCTAAATGAATTGAAAAGTCCACAGTTTATAAGGTACAGCACTACTTTTTTTGTCCATTTCATCGTTTTCCTTAGAATGGAACAACACGAAAGGAATTGATCCGTACGGTCAACGCCTTTCATGTGGGCACTGTATTCCTTGATGCAGGTAGGTTTTACAATATTCTCTCCCATTTTTCTATTTTTTTTTCCTGTTGTCGAGACAGAAGTGTCATGGATCATTGATATCATTCAGACAACCCGCTTGTCTTTCCATGCCAGGAGAAGAGTATCGCTTTTCTGGAAAATATTATGTCACCTTTCTTCATTCTTGATGTTTTCATTTCCAAATTTGGCGGTAAACCTCTACTCTCCCTAATAGTCCCACAGACTCTAGTTTTGTTCTGTAGCGGCAATTCAGCAGTAGATGTAGCATTGTAATAATTATCCTGGTAAATATGGTGCCATATGCCAAGATAGGATCCAAGGACTGAAAGAACAGTTTCTTGCAATTTCCTTCCTTCAGCAGCGTATATCTCCATATTGCAGATATAGCCGGTGTCACTCTCGCACACCATCCGAACAAGTAAACCGTATTTTGTTATTTTTGCTGGGTTGTACGTGAGAAATTTGAAACGTCCTCTCCATGGAATCATTCCCTCGTCCAAAGACAACTGTTGTTTTGGTTTGTATATTGTTCGAAATTTATGCAGGAAATAATCCAGCACAGGTTGGATCTTGAAAAGTCTCCCCGAGCGACTGTCCATTTTGGCGTTATCATTGAAATGCCAGAATGTCCATATTTGCTCAAATCTATGGCGACTCATTGTCTGTGGAAATATAGGGGTACATATCAAAGGATCTGTTGACCAATAGTCTTTCAAGCTATCTTTTCTTGTTTGACCCATCAGAATAATTAGGCCAAGGAATTTCTTGATGTCCTTCTGTGTAACCGGAGACCACTTTAGTGTTCTAGATGGTGTTTTGCGTTTCATTGCGGTTTTATCGTGATAGTTGCACAGCTCTTTGCACAACATCTCAAACAATTCATCACCAAAAAAGAGATTGGTCACAGAGGGTGCAGAGTCACACTGAGACGGAAATGTAGTGACCCCAGCATGACCTTCAAACATTTGTAAGCGTGGTGGTGTGTCAATTTCAGACCAACAATTATCAGTAGTTTCGTCAGTGTCGGAATCACTTGAAAGCACCGCCACCTTGCACTTCCTTACAGGTCTAATAATTTCACTGTCAGTAGAATCAGTAGAATCGTCTCCGGAATCATCAAAACAGTCATCCACATCTTCGATCTCACTAGGAATATCTGATAAATTATCGTTAAGTACTTCCGGAAGTGTATCAGTTTCGTTGGTTTCCTTCCTTTTTCTGAGAGAGGGCATTTCTAAAAGTGCCAGGAACTTGAAGACGAAGACTATTCGAATGACCAAAATACAATGTAACTGCAATGCTTTATGGGTTCGTGCAATTATATAGTTTTTCGTAGATTGACGTGCACGGTTTCCACCAATGAGATTGCTTCGTTCAATGTGGACTGTGCCGCGCCAGCACAGCCAAGGGTGTCTCTGAGTAGGGGGTGAAAGGATGAAGGAAAGACAGACAATAGCTGGGTCTCGGTGGGACGCTGCTCCCTGATGAAGAGGAGACAATGCCATGTCTTTATTTTATAGCAGATGCCACGAGGCAAAGTAGGGGCATGATCACATTGTTTACAGCATTCTCGTGAGTCTCAACCCTACTCAACTACATGCACCTAAACTCTATCACAAGGCACGTGGGGCTACATGTTCGGACCATAGGTTCAAGCTTACAACCACAGCTGTTGGCTATGATTGTGGTGGGAGGGCCCTGCCCTCCAGCTGGGACTTGCACGTGGCAGTGAGAGGACCCTGTCCTTTCATTAGTCCGAGGCTTGAACCTGGCCAAAACACTGTAACCGCGCCCCACAGTGGACAAGACAGTGTGTTGACATCTAAGGTCCATAACAGATGATGCGTGAAAAAACGAGAACACTCGTGAGCAGTCCTTAACAGATGGCGTGCGAAACACGAGAAAACTCCTGAGCGGTACTCAATGTGTTAATAGCACATCACACTATATACTAGCACATCACATTACATACTAAGAAAAACTCAAATTTAAGGCGTTTAGTAAAAGCTCCCTGAAGAAAGAGAAGATTATATATTAGACTAGAGGCCCGGTGCACGAAATTCATGCGGGGGGTGGGGGGGGTCGCCCAGCCTGGCCTGCATCCTCTCACAATCAGGGACCTTTCAGGGGATGTCTGACTGCCGGTTTAGGCCCGATCCCACTGCAGATCAGGCCTAAACGGGCAGTCAGACATCCCTCTCGCAATAAGGGACCACTGGCTCCTAACCACTCGCCTGCCTGCCTGATCACCCCTAACCACCTCTGCCTATCTGCCTGATCACCCCTAACCACTCTGCCTGCCTGACTGATCACCCCTAACCGCCCCCTAGGAGGCAGGGTAGCCTGGGCGAGAAGCCGTGGTGTTCTGCACTTTCCAACCAGGAATGTTGTAACAGGCAGTCTCCAAAAATTTGAACTGGAAAACCCAAAAGTAGAGTGCTCAGATTTCAGGCATCAGGTGCTATTAGCAGGATTTCTATCCCAATTAGACTCTAATTCTGAGCTCTCAACAGTCTGGACAAACTGCCCTTCACTATCTCCAAAGTTTCTTATTCGTCACTATCCCATTTTCCTCCGCTTCAAACCAAGGTAACAAACAAAACCTTTAATTCTGATCCTCACGCAAGGGAACAGCAAATCTCAATCAAAATAATTTCCCGCCAGAAGTCATATCCAAATACTGCAAGACTGAGGACTATAGGGCTGACTATGTACATGCGCAATAACAGGCTCACATTCTAGCGGTAGGAGCCCAGGCGTCCTCCACAATCCCACAATCCTCTGGTCACATACTTCCGGTTTTTCTAGCTCCTCCTTAAATGGTGTTTCTTTCAGTCGCATTGCAAGTCCAGGGCCTCTAGTTGGAGAGGATTTTTCTGTTCTTTGAAGTTGATAGCTATTTACTATTTGGAATCAGTGAAGTTTCGGGAGCACAGCCGCTGCCATGAACATGTCGGTCCTAAGCGCACTCGTGAAACAACCGCCCATTCAGTCCCCAGCTGGCACCGTCCCGGTTCTCAATGAGAAAGGTACTGTGCTGAGCCATTTTCCAATCGGAT